TAATTAAAAATGTTCCGATATTGGATGAATAGAAATACAGTAATGCATTTCTTCCTTATGTAGATTATTTTATGTAGATTACCGTATGGAACGTACATAAACATATGTAAAATGCTGGATGTACTTCAATCAACTGAAATAAATGTTTGAAGATTAAAATAAGAATTTTAACACATATTGGAGATATACAACTATATATTCCGTATTATACACAAAAAATATCTTTTGTTACAAAATATTGAATTTTTTTCAAAAATTAATAACGATGTACATATATTATTAATAACGATATATATAAGTATATACATCATAAAACACAAAAACATAAATAAAATACTGAGCAGAACAATCTTAAAAATAATATCATATCTGCAGCTTAAATGAAAAATAAATATCTTATAAATATAAAATAAAATTATCTTTAAATTCATTCTTTGGTTTAAGAGATTGCACGTAAAGTAACAAATATCACTATATAAGGATTATTAAGCTAGTTCAAAAAAATACATTACAAAGTAATCCAATTGCTTAGAAATATAAAATATTTAACATGCTGTAACATCATGTATGTCTCAAAGCTTTTGACTGTAATAAAACTATAATAAAATAATCAAATGTTATAAAATAAAATGGTTTTATGAAGTTTATTACGTTTATTAACAAGTTTATCCAAAATTCGTTCCGTCATATTTTTATTATATTTAGAAATACGAATAAAAATATATGATGATGTTATAGCTCTAATTAATTGTATTTCATGTAGTTCCTCCATTCCTGCAGTATCTGTTACAGGATGTTGTGGTTTGAATAAAGACGTAGCTATTGGAATATAATGTTGTATAGTAGTTCGAATAATATTAGCTTCAAAATGCTTTGCGTTCATAGATTGCACATTTAATTCAGCTTTAAAAGCTTTTTCAACAAATAGTATTATATTATAAACTACTGCAGATGGTAAATATAATTTAGCACGATTAATGAATTTCATAAAAGAAGATTCTGAATATATTTCTGAACAATAATTATGTTCATAAGTCTTATTATTTGTATTAGTTAAAATTACAATACAATCATCACATTTTATTTTTTTATTAAACTCCGAACAATATAACCAGATATATAATATAAAATATTTTGCTGAATAAATGATATATTAATATTCTCCATAGCTTGAATTATATTTGTTATACGTTTAAAATCATTACAATCAAAAGCTTCAGAGTTCTCTTTGGTTTTAGTTTTGCACTTAAAAATAGCAGGCATTGCAGTGTTATCATCAATGCAATTTGCACTAATACTACTTTTAACATTATTTAAAAACAAAAGTTTTCGTATAATCCATATGAATTGTAAGCAGTCAGGATTATTATTCCAACCCCCTCTAGCTCTTACGCAAGAAAAGAAAAGTTCTAAATGGTCTTGCGAGCATTTATATGGCAAAAATAAACGTAATGGATTAACTTTAGAAAATAAATCCTTTGCTAAATTGATCATACTATACATATTTATTATAAAACCTACTGCAAATGTTGATCTTCGATGATGAAAAATAGGAACTCCGTCAATTTTTAATTTGGAAATGTAAAGAATATTATTGTTAAAAGTATTTATAAAATAATCCAAATTTTTAGGAGTCATGGGCGACTTGAAATTCGTTCCAAAACAACTTCTAGCATTTAACATGTCAAACAGTTTATCAAATATTCTTATGAATTCTCTGTTGTGGCATCACTGTCTTCAAATCCTAAAGTTTTTATTTTCCTTAAATAATCGATGGCATCAGCAACACTACTGCTTATTGTTTGAGATGCAAGTGAAACGTTCATTTTTTTTATTAAAATAATGTATATGTGCATTACCTAATTTATTTGCTAATTTCAGACCTTTTTTTTCTTGAATGTCATGTAATTTCCTAACATATGCAATAGATATTTCCCGATTTTCATATGTAATTTTGCATTCTGCGAAAGTATTACGACATAATTTAATCATATGTGAAGGGTCTAATATACTGTAAATATATGAATCAGATAAAGAATGTTGAAATGCTGTTTGCAACCCACATAGAACAGAAACCTCTAATGGACGTTCATTAGATGTCTATCATGGATATTTAAAACTTCCATTAGACGTCTATTAGACATCCATTGGACGACCACAAAATATCCATAGTTCCGCATTGTGTACATCCATTGGACCTCCATTAGACATTTTTAAAGATATCCATCAGACAGTCTGTGGAACATTAATAGAGGATTCGTGAGGCCTCGATGGACAATTAATCGATGTTCCATGGATCATTAATAGAAGGTTCACAGAGCCTCGGTGGACGATTAATTGACGTTTTGTGACTCATTAATAGAGAATTTACGGAGCCTCGGTGGACAATTCATCGACATTTCGTGGACCATTAATAGAGAATTCACAGACCCTCCGTGGACGATTAATCGATGTTCCTTGGATCATTAATAGAAAGTTCACGAAGCTTCTGTGGATGATTAATGGACGTTGCGTGAATCATTAACAGAGAATTTACAGAGCCTCGATGGACGCTTAATCGACGTTTCGTGGATCATTAATGGAGGGTTCACGGATCCTCAGTGGATGACTAACGGACGCATTATTAAAAAAAAGTTCACGGAGCTTCGGTGAACTAAGTGACGTTGCATGGATCAATAATAAAGGATTTATGAAAGATGGATGGATGAAATATATAATTCTAAATCAAAATAATATCAAAAATTGTAAAAAATATTTATTTATTGAAGATAAAATTACAAATATTATTTGATGCTTAAAAGACCAGTACTCCTTTAAAGTTTACAGCAACTGATGAAAACAGCATACGCACTTGTGCCAATGATAAATTTCAATTTCAGAAATTTATATTAACATAGATACTTGTTGAATTATCAGCTGCGGCAATCTTTGCTTACAAATAAGAATTTTTACATACATGATTATTACCCAAATAGCACAATGACGTCCTCAGGAAATCCGAGGAACATCCAGGATGGACATTAAGGATATCCTGTGGAAATCCAATTTTTATCCCGGAATATACCCAGGATGTCCTGAGGAATAGTCAATGATAGCCAAATACTAGTTCTTAAGACATCCACAGGATATCCTGTCGGATAGCCTCAGGATGTTTTGAGAATGTCTATAGGATATAGATTAAGGAGGTCTTCAGAATTTCTATAGGATATATTAGGAATTTCCTGAGGAATTCTGTAGGATATATTAGAGACATCTTGAAAATTTTAATAGAAAAATATAATATATATATGCTAGAGAAATTCTATTGGATATATGTTACAACATTTCTATAGGATATAACATTTCCAAATCTAAAAGAAAAAATTCTAAAAGTGAAATCAAATGTATTTGATTTATTATAATTCTATTTTAAAAATCAAATTGTGAGAGTGCTTTTTCTTCTTTTTATATAAATATATAATATAAAAAGACAAAAAACATAATTCAGAGTCAGAAATTTAAAAACACATGTTTTTACTGTTCAATATATTTTTGTAATACTATATAATAATGTAAAATAAATTATTTAGTTAGTATTAAATAAAACATTATAATCTAAATATTTTTCTTTACACTTATTTACAGCATTTTTTCTATTTATTCAGTAAAATTAGTTTATTAATTTATGTTATTAAATTTTTAATATTAATTAGAAAGAGTATACAGAGCATTCTTTCTAATCTACACATTAAAAATAGTCATACGTAAATTAAAATTATATATATTTTTTTCAATAAATACAAAAGATGCTGCAAATAATGCAAAGAGAAATACTTTTAATATCTTTTATTTAACATACGAATTAAATAATTTTATATTAGTTATAATATATTGAACAGTAAAAACATATTTTGAATTTATACAGATGAGCATTCTTTTTAATCAATATAAAAAAAGACAGCATTAAATATTTCATTATATATCACTTTTAAAATTTACGTATAAAATAGAAATAAAAAAACGAATTATTTTACATATTGTATTTAATCTTTTTTTAATCTATATTCTTTTAAAACAATATAATTTTTCACAGCTTACAAAATCACAGCTCACAAAAATGTCAGTTTTTTTATCACAATTTAACAACTTAGCAATTTACATAGGCTAGTATGTACATTTAAAGTTAAATTGCACGCATATTTTAACATAAGTCTGGATTCATAGTAGATGATTAAAGCTCTAAGCTTTAAGAAATTGATTAATTACAAGTATGAGGAGAATGCTCCTGTAATTGTAATTTTTTTAAGATTTAGAGCTTAAATTTCCTATTGTGGATCCGGATTAAGAAATCAAAAAAATTATAATTTTTTATAGAAGTTAACAAACAAAAATGGAAATAAAAATTTATTCAAACTATTTTAAAAGTTAAATATTGAAACTGAAATAAAGTTATTCAATTTAGTTTGAAACTTACAACAAAATGTGAGAAATAAACATAAGTATTCTATTAAGATCTAACTTAATAATATATATATGTGTCATACAGAATGACTGTACATGTGCAAAGACTAGACTGGGTCTCATATTACAGTCATATTACAGTCATTTTATAGCTGATGATTAATTATAAAGGAAAAAGGATAGTTTTCAAAGTATTTTAAGAGTGTGCTAAAGCCATCTGAAATGCTCTTTTATCGAAAATATCTTTTTGTTTCGAAATGGCATTTAAGAATTTTCTGTGTTTTCTCGCCTCTGATGTTACAATTTCAAAATGATCGGTTAGAATCCAGGAGTGAATATCAAAATTAATATAAATTTCTGCGAACAACTTATAAAATATATATACATATCAATATGTATAATAAAAAATTTATAAAAAAAATCTATCACTATATCTGATTTTTTAAATAAAAAAGCCGTGTCACGAAGTGCGCACAAAGACAGGAGCAGTTCTTTCTTAATAACATATATATATATATATATATATATATATATATATATATATATATTATATGTATATATTATGCCACAGTATCATCAATATTTGTTGTATGTCTATCTGTGTTATCTCTTCAACAAAAAATATTAAAAATTAATAATTAGTAATTTAACCACTGTGTACATTTAATTATAAAATTTACTTGGTTTTTTTTTGATAACGTTCATTTGCATGCCGTAACCACGATTTAATTGGTTCTGCAATAATATGCTCTGTTGCATTTGGGAAATGAACTCTTACAACACCTATATTAAAAATCATTATATATTTATAAATTAGTATTATATTTAAAAGTGACAATATGATTATACTTACTGAATATAACTTTCCGTAGTTCCAAATCATATAATATTCGTTTTTTTTTTCCTCCAATGTAACTGAACATACACGCTAATTTGTCAGACATTACTGTTCGTAAAAGATTAAATGCAATTCTTTTGATGTCATTACCGCCAATACGCGATAATTCTTTAATCTGTAAGAATATAAAAAAGTACATTAAGTAAATTACTATATTAAGTATGTGTGTGTGCACGCACACGCATACACATACACACAGGAATTTTCGGCAAGCGATACAAATGTAACGCAAAGTTTCGTTCTATCTTTATTGTTTACTGGTATTGAAAGAAGATAGATATCTATGTAACATTGTGTTGACTTGTGTCGGTTGTGGAAACACACATGAACGTACACATGCACATATAATAAGGTATTCGAATTTTTTAAATTTTAGCACTTACCAATTTTTGGCGATTTATTTGACCTTCAATTAATGATTTTTCAAAATTCTGTAAATCTTCTATATTTTCAATTGGGAACTTATTCATTATATCTTGTTCCACAGTTTCGCTTTCTATTCCATGAGAAGAAGATATTTGAAGATTTTGTATAATAGTGTCTAATTTGTTATTTATAATATTTCCTTGTTCTGTTAATGAATTGAGTTGATATCCTATGTCTAAGATTTTTCTTATTATATAACATTGCAAATCATGAATTGCTAAAATTATAAAATAATATAATTGATATATTAATAAAATAAAATAATGAATGTATGCAAAGAAATGTATATTAATATAATATAAATGATAGTTTTATACTTACTTAAACTAATATTATTTGCAATAGCGCAAGGCTCAGATTTATCTTCATTACACGTATCTGTAATTAGAAAATATATCAATATATATATTTTTATAAAAGCCATCTCCAAACACAAACTATCAATAATCAGACATCATCAATGTTATAACTTCATTCAATACAATGTAACTAATACGTAACATATATGTATATTATATTGCATTTATAATCTTGAATTCAAAAATATAACACTAATGTGTAGTATTATTGTTAGTTGATGTTTATATTTGTGATTTTTAATTATAAATTATCTATAATTACCAGAAATAAAATCATTATCATTTTTATTTATTTCGCGTGTTATAGTATTTTTACATTTCAGTTTATTTTCTTTAAAAGTATTTACAGCTTCTTCTGTGAATCAATTAATAATAAAATAATTATAGTTATACTTTTAAATTTTAAATGTATTATATATAAAATATGATAAATTTGTTTCATACTTATTAACTGTTTTTTGGATTTGTCGTCACATTTATTCTTTGATTTGGTGTTAAAGCTGTTGCTTTTTATTTGTGGAACTTTAGGATAATCAGGTAACTATATATTTTCTTGATCACTATTATTATCTTCACTGCTTGAGATTATTATTTTTGCTCTCTCTTTTCGGGATTTCTTAAAAGCTTCTAGATCGTCATTTTCTGAATTAATGTCTGACAAAATTTCAGCTTTTTTCAATTTTAATAATCCATTGTCATATGAATCTAAATGAAAAATTAATTAATATGCTTAATACGTATAACAAAAACAATTATAACAATTGTTTAATATATACAAACTAATCATAAATAACCAAATTTCTACTTTGTGTCTTTCGCAGGTACAACTTACTTGAACTGGCTAAAATTTTCTTTATTTTGAACAACGACCATTCATTTTCATATGGTATGCGATTTTTTACAGCTTTCATAAATTTATGTGAACTAAACTTTGGTCAATAAGCAGTACTTTTATCTTCCATTATCCAGGAGGTGGGAATCATTTCCATACCATCTTCAAACTCAACAATGGACCATAAATCTTCCATTATGTATAGGTATACTGTAATATATCATATATATATATGTATATATATATATATATATTATATATTACATATATCATATGTATATATATATACAGGGTGTCCCATTTTAATCCATCCAATCGAATATCTCGAAAACCAAGCTTGAAAGAGAAAAATGTTTCAGACAAAAGTTGTATGGTTTCTAGGGGGACATAAGATGGTACCATTGGTTTGACCTTGAAGAGTTATTTGAAGGTCACATGAAGGTCACTTTCAATTTCTTAAATGGAATATACATTTTCTCATTACAAATTCTTGTAGCTTATCTCGAGAGCTTTCCAAAACACTATAATAAAATATTTTTTTATTGAGTACTTTTCGAGTTATGAAATCGAGGCTTGAAATCATTTCTTAATTTAACATAAACCGTAATATATCTAGTAAAATATTCATTTTTCGATTATCTTGCTTTAATACTTTTATGTACAAAATAATGAGAGAAATCAATGGTGTAAAAAAAACTCATAGTTGATTCAAAGAAAAAATATGTAATTGTTAATTGCAAATTACATATTTTTTCTTAAAAATAACTATGTGTTTTCTTTACACCAATTGATTCCTCTCATTATTTTGTACATAAAAGTATTAAAGCAAGATAATCGAAAAATGAATATTTTACTAGATATATTACGGTTTATGTTAAATTAAGAAATGATTTCAAGCTTCATAACTCGAAAAGTACTCAATAAAAAAATATTTTATTATAATGTTTTGGAAAGCTCTCGAGATAAGCTACAAGAATATGTAATGAGAAAATGTAGATTCCATTTAAGAAATTGAAGGTGACCTTCATGTGACCTTCAAATAACTCTTCAAGGTCAAACCAATGGTACCATCTTATGTCCCCCTAGAAACCATATAACTTTTGTCTGAAACATTTTTCTCTTTCAAGCTTGGTTTTCGAGATATTCGATTGGATGAATTAAAATGGGACACCCTGTATATATATGTGTATGTATATGTGTGTCATATATATATATGTGTATGTATATGTATATGTATATGTATAAGTATGTGTATGTATATATAAATTTATAAATGCAGCAATGGAAAGACAGCAAATTTGTTATTAAATGGAAACTGAACATATTTTATTTTAATATCTTTTACTAGCCATATTTTAAAATCTGATAAATTACATACAACAAATATTCCTAAAAGAGATGAAGGGCATGGTTTATCATATAAATCTTCTCTATGTAAAAATTCATTGCCAATAATGACATCTGTCTTTAGATTTTTATGATAAGTAATATTTTTTATTCGAACAATACTTCCATCACTTAAACCACAGCAATTATCTGCTAATGTATCTGTACGTATGGTTGCATTTGAGCATTTTTATTATGTAATATTGTGGATTACAGCAACCTTCAATTAAAGGACCTTTCGTATGAATAGATTTTCTGTGAATTACAAAGTCAGATAATGTTATGTCATGCAATTCTCGCGGTTTCTCAATGTTTCTTCGTTCAATATATCTTCTAACAACCTGTTGTAATGGTTGGTTATGCTTTTTTAATATATTTTTTAATGTTTGCAAATAATTTTCATATTTGAACGAACTAAAGGTGTACCAAATCTTTTCGCATCTTGTGCTAAATGAATGAGACCATGTACGTTATGTGAAATGTTGAAAGCACCATATAATAATTTGAAAGATAATACAAAATGTTCTAGAAGCTCTTGAGCATAGTCAATATATTCGTGAAATTGTGAACAACATAATATTCTAATCGCAACATGCAATACTAAAAAATGATTATACAGATCCTTTCGAAGAAGTTTAAAAACTACACAGCCTGTGTATAACAGTACATTTCGAAATTCTGTTGCCTTCCATAGTTTGACAAAAGCAAGTGATCTTGATTTGCGCACAAATTCGCATGGTATATATATTTGTAATACATTTTCCAACTGTGATGATATTTCCTCCACTTTTCTGTGTTGTAAACGGACTTCAAGTTTTCCGAATAACCACATATATAATAATTTACGCATGATTCCTAAACATACAAGATGCATATAGTCCAAAGGTATATTGTTCACAAAATCAAAATCTGATAGCTTTAAAATAGCAGAATGCCCAACATGATAATTTTCGTCCTTCCTTAAACGGAAATCTTTATCTGTTCGTAGTTGTGCATTTGTTTCAGGAAAACACATTTTACCGTTAATATAACTGCCTTCAATTATGCACTTTGTGCAACTGGAATAACCGTTATGTTCTTTTACTTGCAACACAAATGCTTTCGCTGGTGCATCACATATAATAGAATTAATGTACATGCTATATTTTTGTTATTAACAGTAATTCCTTCTTCGTGTAATATTTTTACTTCATCTACAAATTTTGCAAGAAATTCATTTGAATCTGATGGTTTATGTGTTCCATAATAAATGCCAATAATAAAAACTTCTTTAGATTCAGATATGGATCCCAAAATTGGCCAAAATTGTTGCTGTGACGACTTCGACAATGGCAATCCATCGATATTTATTGATATTTTAATTTCTGTAATATTTTGTGAAACTAATGGTAAAATACTTAGTATCCCTTCTCTTAGTCCAAAATGATAATATTGACCACCAGCACAAATCTCAATATTACTACTTCTAGGAGTACGCAAAGGAGTTCTTGAATTTAACGGTATGTTTAAATTGCAGTTATTACATGTATATTATTTAATTCCTTTTAACAAAGAGTTCAATGATGATTGCGAAATACGTTCTTTAACAGCCCATTGGCTTAAAAATGTCTTAAAATCTATATTCTTTGATGCACTATCTACATTATTATTTTCTGTAACATTGTTTATTTCATCTTGTACGACTCTGCTATTTTCATCAGAAAACTCATCACTTGATATTAAATTCTCATTACGTAAAACATTTTCAAATTCATTTGATATTAGATTCTCATCACATGAAATATTTTCAGATTCATTTGATACTAGATCCTCATCATGTAAAACATTTTCAAATTCATTTTGTATGTCATTTTCTATAGAATCATGTACATTTTCATTTTGTAATATATTTTCAGAAAATAATGTAGAAGCAAATGTTGATTGAATGATTTTATGAGATTCCATTATAATATCTGTTTCCATTTTTATCATTTTTAATCGATGTGAGGAAGTAACTGTACGTTTATATGAATGTTTTTTACCTAACATTTTAAATTTGTTTTCTAAGATTAATTTAGCAATTGCTTTTATAAAAAACAATAGTAATTTAGAAAAACAAATAATTTAAAAAAAATAGTACAAATTTAAAAATAGTAATTTAAAAATAAAAATTAATTTAATAATATAAAGATTTAATAATATGTGCGTGTAGGTATGTGTGTATGTGTATAGAAAAAGTTAGTCCACGTAATTCATCTGTAAAAAATAAATTTATAATTTATAAATTGAATTTCTTCAGAAACTGTTCGAATTTCTAATTGTTTATGTAAAAAAAATTGATAACACCTACAATACATTTTCCAGATTTATATTATAATATACCAGATATTCAAAATAAAGTGTCACAAGTTTATCTCTAAAAATATAATTCTAGAAAAAATAAAAAATGTAAGTGATCATGTAAGCCAACATGCTAGTTATAAAGCTAAAAATTTGTTTATACGCTGCTTGCTGTCATACATGTGAGTATGCTTTCAAAGATAGTGTTATTTTTGTTGTGTAATTTAATAAAATAAACTAAATATATCATATCAATTAGCAACGATTTACTATTATGCATTGCTAATTGACATAATATAATATTTAATTTATTTATCAAATTGTTATTAAATTACACCAAAAATAGCACTGGTTTTATCTTTGAAAACTAGCATGCTCACACGCATGACAGCAAGCAGCGTACAAATAAATTCTAGCTGCATAACTAGCAAGTTAGCTTGCATAGTCACCTACATTTTTAATTTTCTCTAGAATTATATTTTTGAAGATAAACTTGTGACACTTTATTTTGAACATTTATTTTGAACTAATATGCTAACACTCATGAGAACATGCAGCGTACAAAATTTATTCTAGCTCTATAGCTAGCATTTTAGCATAGCTCGCATGGGATTCAATACACAAAAAACACACCATGTGCCATAGACTTAACTTTAATAAATTTAAGTTTTTCTTTACTTACATATCTAATAATAGATGAAGCCTCCTTTCTTTTACTGTTATTAGAATTGTACTATACTTTTTGTTTTATTATTAGAATTGCACTATACTATACTTTGCACTGTCCTGCCAACAGAATGTACACAATAATACTGCAACATAGAACAAAAATAATAATTATTATTTTTACATCTACACACACACACACACACACACACACACACACACACAATAACGAATGATTGGACTGCTACAATAAATTTTGAGGTTAAATTCAAGATTTGTGTATGAAGTTAATATATATACAGCATAGCACATACAAAATTCGTTTAATAAGATCTGCAAATGTAATTATAAGCATTTAAAAATAACGCAGTTAAGATTACGTTCCAAAACGTCAAGAAGAGATTACCTGAAATTAAAGCAATATTCGTTGTACACTCTGGTTGCTGGTTGTTCTTTTCCCGGTAACCATGTAAGAAGAGACCGGAATCGGAAATCCTGTCATTTTGTATCGTACTTGTAACGGCAGCGCTATTATTATATATCGTACCGCGTAATTTGAAAAGTCAAATATTGATCATATAATAAATATAAATTTTCTTGTTATATTTTAATATCAGTTTACTTACCGCGATACACTTTGGTTGTATTTGTTTATAGGCACTTACACACTTAACATTTTTTAACGCTGCGTTTTCATTATATATTAACAATATCCCAAAATCATTAATGTCTATTAAACTCAAAAATAACTAAGTCCTAAAATCATCCTATACATATCTATCTCTTAAGATGCATAATCCTATACATATCTATCTCTTAAGATGCAT